AAACCAATTAAAACATGACACTAAAAAAATCATGGTGCAGGGTGATGGCTTAGTTAGCAGAGTATTGAGGCTCCAACTTCCTCCCCTGAACCCAAATAAGAATGTTGATGTGTACCGTCTCAGTGCTGTGGAGGCAGAGCCAGGAGGACCCCTGGGGCTCACTGGCCAGCCAGTGTAGTCTAATTGGTGAGTTTGGGGTCAAAGGGAGAGTCTGTTTGATGGAAGAAGATGGCCTTCCTGAGGACTGACAAACATGCTTGCATGCACACACACACACACACACACACACAGACACACACACACACACACACTTCCTCCTTGACTCTCATTTATTTGGAAGTTATATTTGACTGCATCATTTGGGACAAAATGTTAGAAACATTGTCATTACAGTTAGATTATGTCTATACTACTGGCAAGAAGGAAAGGAAAACCACAGGCACTGGGAAGAAAGATTTGGGGATTTTCAGAGTTGGACAAGTCTGCATTTAATTCTGGAATGAGTGGAGGACCAACCATGCTTGAAACAGTACAGACATCAGAAAGTCTTCCCCAGCCGGGCAGTGGTGGTGCACGACTTTAATCCCAGCACTTGGGAGGCAGAGGCAGGTGGATTTCTGAGTTCGAGGCCAGCCTGGTCTACAAAGTGAGTTCCAGGACAGCCAGGGCTACACAGAGAAACCCTGTCTCGAAAAACAAAACAAAAACAAACAAACAAACAAACAAAAAGAAAGTCTTCCCCAAATTTTTGAAACATATTGTTGTTGTTTGTATGTTTTCAGTGTGGGGATTGAACCCATGGTCACACAAGCCCTAGGCAAGTGCCCTACCACTGCTATACCCATTTTTTTTTTTAAAGACAGATTTATTTTTCTTTTAAAATTATTCGTGCATGTGGAGGTGAGGGTGGGGTATGTGAGTACAGGTACCCTCAGAGGTCAGAAGAGGGCATCAGATCCCCTGGCACTGGAGTACCCAACACGGGTACTGGGAACTAAAATCCAGTCCTCTGGAAGAGTAAGAAGACTCCTAACCACTGAGTCATGGAATCTTGTTTAACAACCTTTATGTATATTATGAATTATGCAATCATGTCATTGGGGTTCTCATAATTTATCATACATGGTTTCTAATATTTGCTCAAAGTCTTCATTGGTGATTCAGTATTGAGTAGTATTAATTAAAGCTGTTAGACTGATTCTATTATGGCTTTAGGCTAATTGCCTAATCTTTTCAAGTTTCTATGTCTTTGTCTGTAGAGAAGAATGTGAGAATCTAATTATATGCCAAAGTGGAACAATTAGTTTGGATCCTGATATATCAGCTATGATATCCAAGGAATCATAGTAGCTGTCCTTCCTCATGGGACTCCTACAATCTCCACATCCTCATGTACCCTTTCTATTATTGAAGATCATATGGTAAATACAGAAATTACTACCAATTCCACGAGGGCAGAGACAATGTCTTGTTACCTTGAAATCACGAACAGTATCTGACATACAGGATAGTCTCAGTAAATGGCTGCTGAGTGAATAAACAAGGACTCAGTCCCATATTCTGTGATAATTTTAGAATGAAGAGATATCAGCCAATCTGATTAAACAAACATTTATCAGTTTCTTATTGTATTAAAAAGCTCTGGCCGGGCAGTGGTGGCGCACGCCTTTAATCCCAGCACTTGGGAGGCAGAGGCAGGCGGATTTCTGAGTTCGAGGCCAGCCTGGTCTACAGAGTGAGTTCCAGGACAGCCCGGGCTACACAGAGAAACCCTGTCTCGAAAAAAAACCAAAAAAAAAAAAAAAAAAAAAAAAAAAAAAAAAAAAAAAAAAAAAAAGCTCTGATCTAAGCCTAAGACATTAAATAAATAAGCTATGACCTGAGCTCTCAAGATAACGTTGGTAAGGCTGGGAGATGGCTCAGCAACCTTCTCCCTCGTGCCTTCTACCTAGCCTAACGTCCTGACTGGTTTTAATGTCAACTTTGCACAGGCTAAGATCATCTGGGAAGAGGAAATCTCAAATGAGAAAATGCCTTTCTTAATCAAACTGACTGCAGGCAAGCCTGTGGGGCGTTTTCTTGGTTAGTAAGTGATGTTGTGAGGTGGGCGGTCCCGCTCCTATGCAGGTGGGCCTGGACTATAGGCAAATAATGAGAAGCAAGCTAGTAAGCAGCCTTTGCTTCACTTCTCCTCCAGTGTCCTGGCCTTGCTGGACTTCCTGCTTTGGCCTCCTTCAGTGGACTGTGACCTGAGATATGTAAGACAAATAAACCTTCTGTTTCCCATAAGTTGGTTTTGGTAAATGTTTTATCACAGCAGTAGTAAGCAAACTCAGGTCATATGACAACATGTTGAAGCAATAGAACCAACTCCAGTGCTCTGATTCTAGTTACAGCAGGCATGCAGACCTTGTGCTAGACTTCAGAGGCTAACTACAGCTAGGTAATCACATTCCTAGGAATGACTTCTATTGAGGTGAAGAACCTCATATTGCTTGCCCGGTTTCTTCTTGTATGGGCATTCTTAAAGTAGAAAATAACTTGGCTTTTATTGATGCTACCTCCACTCCAACTATTTGTAATTTTCTAGTTTCAGAGATTAAGAAGACCATGGTCAACAAACTGAAGTATCACTTAATTGTTTTAAGAAATGTCTGTGAAGCTCTCTGCTATTTTCAGATTCTGGTAATTCAATAACAGCTTGGCAGACCACAGTGAGTGAGCAGATCAGACCTGAGAGTGGATGACAACATTAAAATATTGGGGGGTAGGGATGTGGCCTCATGGCTAATGTGCTTGCCTGGCACGAATAAAACTCCGGGTTTGCTCTCAGGTGCATGTAAACGGTGTCTGGTGGTGAGTAGCCATCATCCTATAATTTGGGATGTAGAAGCTGAGGATCAGAAGTTGAAGACCATCCTTGGGAGTTGAGGCCCGCCTAGGTTATGTAAGAACCTGTCTCAGAAATGTTAAACACTAGGCACATTCTCTGTCAACAGCTTGGTTATAGGTGCCAAGTTTGTTGAGTTTTATGGTTCTTTGGGCTGGCAGTCTTGTATCCCAGATACTTCGAAGAACATTCCAGAGATGGTCTGACTTACTGGCAATTTCAAGCTAAGCTTCAAACTTTATATTTTCTCTCTTCTCTTCTTTGCTCTTTCTTTTTTTAATTATGAGACTATGCTTACAAGGAGCGTTTCTATAATTCATTAAATTAAGAGCTTTTATTATGAAATATTGAGACATTTTACAGAACACTTTAGTTTCTATAAGTCAATGACATAAACCTTGAGACTGAGAGATAGACGGGTAGAGGGGACAGGATGGAAGAGAATTAAAAGTTCTATGACATCATTTTTATCCTGACTGGACAACTATAAAAGAATTTTTTTTAAGACAATCAAGACTATTTGGTTATAGATGGAGCTGAAGAGACAGCTCAGTGCTCATGACCATTGTCCCTCCTCAGGTTTTCCCTAGATAATACTTAATTGCCCTAAATTCTTAATTTAAGTTGTGGTTTAAGCCATTCTTTTTTCTCTCAAAGCTATTAAAGAAGATTTTTTTCCAGGAGCTGAAAGGATAGCCCAGCAGTTAAGAATACTAGGTTCACCAGGTGGTGGTGGCACACGCCTTTAATCCCAGTACTTGGGAGGCAGAGGCAGGCAGATTTCTGAGTTCAAGAGTTCGAGGCCAGCCTGGTCTACAGAGTGAGTTTTAGGACAGCCAGGGCTACACAGAGAAACCCTGTCTTGAAAAACCAAACCAAAAAAAAAAAAAAAAAGAATACTGGGTTCAATACCCAGTACCTACATGGTGCTCACAACCATCTGTGACTACGAATCCAGAGCATCTAATATCTTCTTCTGACCTATGTGGGGGCCGCATACATGCATATATGCAGACGGAATGTTCACACACATAAAATAAATTAAATATATCTTTTTTAAAAATTTAAAGATGAGTCTGGCATGGTGGCACACACCTTTAAACCCAGCACTTGGGAAGCAGAGGCTCTGTGAGTTCAAAGCCAGCCTGCTCTACAAAGCAAGTCCAGGACAGCCAGGGCTACACAGAGAAAACTTGTCTTAAAAACATACAAATTTTTTAAAAGAATATTTGCTAATGGAACTGGTATCAGACCTTATTGTTGTTAGTTTTATGATCTATTATTGTGTTATATAAGAAAATGCTCACTTTTTTTTTTAAATGAAAGGTTTGGTTTTTTTTTTTTTTAATCTGTTTGTGGGTATGTGCAAGAAAGTTGCAGGTGCCCCAGGAACCAGAAGAGGGCAGTGAGCTCCCTGGAGCTGGAATTAAAGGTGGTTCTGAGCTGCCAGATGTAGGTTCTAGAAACCAAACTCAGGTCCCCTGAAAGAGCAGTAGGTGTCCTTAGCTACTGAGCTACATCTAAAGCCCCAGAAAATGTTTATATTTTAGAACTGAATGCTTAATATACCAAAAAACAAAATTCCATGATATTCTGAAGGTGTTCTGACATAGTTCAGCAAAGGAAGAAGACCAGGACAGACAGGTGAAAACATAAGTGCACTGAATAATCTGATCATTTCGGAATAAAAATGTTTAAGACAATTTTTTTCTTTTGAGATAGCACCTTGCTACTTAGCCCAGGCTGGCTTCCTTCCCTGCCTCTCTAGGTCCTGGGGTAACCCATATGCCTCACCACACCTGACTATAGAGGTTGTCACTTGCTACTTAGAACTTCCTAAAGTCCTCCTGAATTGCATGCCTATTTCTATGCAGATAAGGCCATTCTCCATCTACTAGCTACAGTTGTACTTAAAAACACGACCCTGTCGCCTGAGGCTGTGTGGGTGTCTGTGGTCTGTGCTCCCACTGACTGTGAAGGACATCCCTACCTAAAAATCTCAGTAGGGATGCTGCAACAATTGAAGGTTTCTGGTGGGAGAGGGGAAGAGGTTCAGGGGAGGAGGACTCAGTTATCTTTTTTTTTTTTTTTTTTTTTTTTTTTGCCACCATGTGGATTTTACTGAATCTAGTGTGGACAGATCTGTGAAGGTATGTATAGTGTTAAGGGTCAAGACTTCAGCCTGATGGGAGAGCCAGATATGGACATTGGAGCATGGGACAGGACTAGAATCTAGAATGTGGTATCCTTTGTAGAAAGGCTTAAAAGACTGCCACAGAGGAGGTGGAGACGATGACGATGCCGATGGTGAAGAGCAGGGAGCTGGTGTTCGGGTACCTGCCAGTGGAGCCATGACGATGCCGATGGTGAAGAGCAGGGAGCTGGTGTTCGGGTACCTGCCAGTGGAGCCATGACGATGCCGATGGTGAAGAGCAGGGAGCTGGTGTTCGGGTACCTGCCAGTGGAGCCATAGGCCTGGGCTCCCATCATCCACCTTCTTCCTGTCCTTGAATGTCACAAAGAAAAAAAAAAAGAAAAAGAAACGAAAAGAAAATAGAAAGAAAAAAAAAGAATGTCACAAACCAGGCATAACAGGCAGCAGCCATTCAAGAATAGTGAGTTGAACTGAGACCAGACCACCTAGTCTGGCACAAAGGTCAGGCACAGAGACTTCTCTGGGCACGCTGATCATTGTGGTTCTCACAACAGCTGACTTGTGGGGTTCCTCCAGCTTAGTCACCCCTTACTCCTCCTCTTTGATTGCCTCATAGCTTGGAGCAAGTCTGGCATTGGTGGTCAGGAAGGCTTAGGGATTGGGGCTTATGGTATTGCTTCTGGAGCAATGAACTCAGTTATCTTTAAGGGGCTGGCCACTAGGAGTTTGACCATGTTCCAGTGAGTATAGGGGTACCACAAATTGTACTTATGTTTCCTCTTTAATCAGAGTTATGATGTGAAATTCCTAAATGACTAAAAATATTATATTGAAAAACAAAACACAAACCTTTTGTCATAGTCTCTGCTAAAAATCCTTCAAAGGATTCCCATTCCTGAAATGTAACCAGAAGGTCGCGTGGGAGCTGCTTCCCTCCCTCAGCCTACCCTTGGTGGCTTCTTTCAGATCTTCAGGGCCAAGGTCTGTTTAGGCCCCGACCTTCCCTGAGATGGTCATGGGGCACCCTCCTCTACCTATTGTTTTCTCCGCTCTACAATCCAGCTACTTTCATTGGCAATTTTAATAACTTGTTCTTTTGTTTCACACCTGTTTTCTCCACTTCTGAAATCTTTGTATGTCTTCTGTTTGCTACAGTACAGACAACAGCACTTCATTTTATGGATTTACTAAGAAATGTGTTTTTCTAAGCGTCAATCCTGCGTCCCAGAAATACACTTGAAGTGTAAGCTTAAGAGTGTTAGGAAGAGGGAATTTAGTAAATGCTATCTGAAAGGTTGATAGCTGAGGAAAAATAAGGGGTGTTTGAAGGAAGTATCAGAGGCAGTAAATGGTCATTAGGCTCCTAAGTGAATTGTTAGTAACAGAGACACTAGGCAACCACAGTGGTTCTCTGTGTGTCTGAATTCATTAATTTCTAGATCTGTGATGCCACATCTGCTCAGTCAGTGCCTGACCTGCAACTGAGTTCTTTGAAGCGCAGGGAAGAAAGCATAGCCCCTCGCTAATGAGCTGAGTCAGGGGACGTGGGCAGATGAGGGGTATGGGGCTCTCACTTGCAGCTAGGAAGCCACAGTTGAAGGAGACATGCAAAAGTGTACCACTGCACCAACAGGGAGAGCTGAACACCATGTTCTAAAAACAAGAATAGGCAAACACACAAAATTCCAGTAAGAGAGCTAACAAATTGAAGTCTATAAACTTATGTAGAATTGCATAATCATATTTATTTATTTATTTATTTATTTATTTATTTATTTATTTTGGTTTTTCGAGACAGGGTTTCTCTGTGTAACCCTGGCTGTCCTGGAACTCACTCTGTAGACCAGGCTGGCCTCAAACTCAGAAATCCGCCTGCCTCTGCCTCCCAAGTGCTGGGATTAAAGGTGTGCGCCACCACCGCCCGGCTCATATTTATTTTCAAAACTCAACACTACATAGTATTTATAGAGAGAGCACTAGAACTCATTTAAAGAATTAAAGCATACACATTAATTTCCAGGTTCTGTGGAACATTTGGAAAAGCACCACACATTGGGTCACAAAGCAAGTGTCAATCTACACCAGCAATTCAATACTGACAAGCCTAAAGGGAGCTCAGAGGATGAAAGCAGGAAAGAGAGTAGGTCCTTGACAAAGGACAATAAATACAGAAGAGGGAAGATGAGTGGTTAGGGAGAGACAGAAGGAGGGAAGAAGGAAGGGGAAAGAAAGAGAGAAAGAAATCAGAACTGAGGAACGTTCTACAGAAGTAACTGTCTGGAACTATAAGAATGTCAGCATTCGCCGGGCGGTGGTGGCGCACGCCTTTAATCCCAGCACTTGAGAGGCAGAGGCAGGCGGATTTCTGAGTTCGAGGCCAGCCTGGTCTACAAAGTGAGTTCCAGGACAGCCAAGGCTACACAGAGAAATCCTGTCTCCAAAAAAAAAAACAAAAAACAAAAGAATGTCAGCATTGTACTGTCCATTGTGGTATGCACACACCCTAAACACTTGAAGAGCAAGACAAGAGGATGGCCAGTCCAAGGCCAAACCGAGCTACATAGTGAAACTCTGTCTCAGAACTACTAGCAGCACAAGGTCAATGGTCAGAGAAGATAAAGACTGAAGAGCTGACTGTTCAGAATAAAGAAGACTATAGACACATATCAGAAAGCAATGCCCAACCCAGGATTTTCTGTAGCCATGAAATATGTTACTAGGACAATTGGTGAGTTTATAGATTAGTCTTTCATAAACATTGGTTTCCTGGATTTTAAAAATTGGCCTATGGTTATAGAGAAAATGCCCTTGTTTTAAATAAGGCCTGGGGTACTGGGGGTAGGAATCCATCATGCCTGTAAGTAAAGTAGTTCAGAAACAGTCTTTACGTGTAACACAGAGCTGAAGACAAAATAAACAGGGGAAACACTAACTTTAGGAAAACCATAATGGGCAAAAGAAGATTTTTCATTATATTCTTTCAATTTTTCTTTAGAAAAGTGAACATGCATGTATGTAAGTGCATGTGTGTGCATATGCATGCCCTTGTGTGTGTGTGTGTATGTGTGTGTGTCAGAGAACAACTTCCTGGAGTCTCTTGCCTCCTTTCACCTGGTTTCCTAGGTAGTCTGTCTTGTGGTTGCGTGATGGGTTTTGAATCCAGGCTAGCTGGCCCAAAAGCTTTCTTTGGTCCCTCCCTCCCACCAGGTGCAGGAGAGCTAGAATTACAGATATGCCCCATGTCTTTTTTTTTTTTTTTTTTTTTTTTTTTTTACAAAGATTCTGGGGACTGAATCACATCATCAGGCTTAAACATAAAGAACCTATATTCACCAAACCAGTTCTTTGGCCCCTCTTCTAAAACTTTGAAATGAAGTAAAAAATAATGTATATGTGTCAAGAAATTTAAGTTACTGTTTTCAAAGGTCTCAATTTTGGATAAGTAGGCATTTCGTTATCTCCTGAATGTTTTAAATATTTAAAACAATTTAAAAGGAAAAATTTAATCTAGGCAATGAATCTAACCTTTGTTCTTAAAAGGACTGCCCTGAGTCAGAATTGCTGAGCTGTTATTCACTGCACAGAAGGTCACCTGTAGGTAGGACAAAGTGGCCTCTGGGCTGCATTCTTAAGGCTTTAAGCACACAGGATGTGCTGGAGGTGACCCATCCAGTTCAGCAGCTCTGGCCGGACATCTTATCTGTAAACAGCAGGGGCTCTGTTTTTCTCTTTATGTTACAGGATACAGAGGTAATAAATGCTTTAAAAAAACAACCGGTTTTAACCTTGTTTTCTTCTTCACTTCCTGTATGTTTGACAGTGCAGTCAACATTTATACATCACATTATAACCAAAACACTGTACTGATATAGACAGGTTATCAAAATAAATACAAGGGGTCCTTGAGGTGGCTTAGCAGGTAAAGACACTTGCCCAGCAACTTCCCAACCGGAGTCTAACCTACAAACCTGTGAAGGCAAGACAGAACCAGCTCTTGAAAGTTGTCCTCTGACTTTCACATGTGCACTGTGGTACAAACATGCCTATACCACACACACACACACACACACACACACACACACACACACTGAATAAACAATCAAATAAAGACACCATGAATTCTTACTCCAAATCTACAACCAGTATAAGGGCCTGGAAAGTGGAACCCAAAACCCAAAGTGGAAGTCCAAAAGAAGTCAACTTGTTCCATATTACACTCCTAGTGACTGATAAAGCCAAGATTTGTCTTTTCTGTCTGACTTCAAGCATTCTCCACATCATAGGACAGAATTTCACAGACTGGATGCCTCTGGGGTGAGTCATGCTGGATAGAGAAGGAAGTGAAAAGCCACTCTCAGGAAAGCTCCAATTGCTCAAGGTTAGAGCAGAAACTTCAAAATCATCTGGGGAATGTTTCACCCATGCATACTTGTTCTTTACAGACAGACTCTCCCTAAATTTTCCAGCAGAAGATGGCTAAAAAGCACTTTAACTAGTTTTGTGCTCCCCCAACTCAAATGAGACAAACTTATATAGTTCAGTAATAATTTTAGTGTGTATAAAAGAAGACAAAAGCTGGGCAGTGGTGGCACACACCTTTAATCCCAGCACTTGGGAGGCAGAGGCAGGTAGATTTCTGAGTTCGAGGCCAGCCTGGTCTACAGAATGAGTTCTAGGATAGCCAGAGCTACACAGAGAAACCCTGTCTCGAAAAAACAAAAACAAAAACAAAAAAAAAAAAAAGAAGAAGAAGAAGACAAAAACATCTGCAAAAACCCCCAACCAATTAGGTTTGCTAACCTGGCACACATTTTTCTGTATCTTAAATACCCTGAGGTGGTTTGAGAGTATGTGGCTTCACAGGCCTATGGCCAAGCACTTCTGCCTGCTATGTATGTATGTATGTTTGTATGTATGTATGTATGTATGTATGTATGCATGTATGTATGTATGTATGTAGTATAATGCCCCTGCCCTCAGGGATTCGAAGAGACCTTAGGGAAGGGGGCAAAAGAATGAAGGGACAAGAGACACAAGGAATGAGAGCAAGTCTGGGGTTCTGATCAAGCTCTGAAACTTTAATTTCGGGTGCAGGTTATAAAGACACAGCAAACCGGGAAGTTTGGGTGAGGGTCATTGCTTAGGGCTATCCCACTATTGAATACTTATTGCCCTAGATCATCCCATTGTCGTAACCGGCTCCCAGGAAATGCCAGACGTTCTTTAAGTTCCTGGGGCCTGAGACCCGTGAATGTCCTTTCTTAACCTTGTACTGACTAGGCTCTCTAGAACAGCAGGTAACTTCCTAGGTTCTCTTAGGACAGCAGGTAGTTTCCTGGGTTTGGCTCCCGGCATATATATAACACAGCATCCTGCTATATAGCCTAGTTTGGTCTTGAACTCATGATCCTCCTGCCTAAACCTCTCAGGTGTCAGAATTATGGCTATGTACTACTGTTTCCTATCTGATTACTATTTTGCTATCTCCTGGTCAGGAAACTTTTAATATTTGCCATGAGTCCTAGAAAGTGATCTAATGAGTCATTCTACTCTTCGATATGTAATCTCCCTGGCTGTAGTTTCCTTGTCTGTATAAAAAGAAATAAAAGCCTATCATTCCAGTACTTGGGAGACAGAGATAGGAAAATCAGAAGGCCAGCCTCAGCTACATAAGGAGTTCAATGTCTATGTGACACCTTGTTTCAAAACAACAAAAAAAAGTGCGTTTTTTAATCCTAGCATTCAGGATGCAGAGGGAGGCAAATCTCTGAGTTTGACGCCATTGTGGTCTACAGAGTGAGTTTCAGGACAGCCAGGGCTACACAAAGAAAGCCTGTCTTGAAAACCAAACCAAACCAAACCAAACCAAACCAAACCAAACCAAACCAAACCAAACCAAACCAAA